TGGACAGAGGAACCTGCAAGTCATGGAAGAGATTAAGCTATGGTATATGCATTGCCTCCTTGACCGAAAACCAACTTCAGAGACGAGGCTGGAGTACCTTATTGAGCTCATTATAAGTATAGAACAACAGTGTCGAGATTGCTACAGTGAAAAAATTGATATGAGCAGTGAAAAATTTGTAGAAATGATGGTGGTTGATGGTTGCTTTATTATAGAACTTTTCCGCAAGTATGCAAGAGTGGTGCCTAGTAACAAGGATGATCCAGTGTTCTACACGTTATGGATGCACACTGCGCTTACAAACGACTTGTTTCTACTCGAAAACCAGCTTCCTTGGAGAGTTCTTGAGTGTTTGTTCCACAACACAAGGGAAAACAATGATAAACCAGCAACCTATTCTCTGTTCCAGCTTGCTCTCAACTTCTTTAGGCACTCCACCTTCTCACAGTCTTCACATCTCAATGAAGAAGTGGAAAACAAACATTTACTTGGCATCATAAGAAACTCTTTGCTTGGCTCGTATACGCAATTACAGTTAACTTTCAAAAGTTACTGGGAACCAATTCCATCTGTGTCAGAGCTTCTACAAGCTGGAGTTCAGTTTAAGCTTCGAAACACTGGTGACAACATGCTCGACATAACCTTCGAGAATGGAGTGATGGAAATTCCGCCAGTAAACATTCGAGAGAACGGAGAGTCCCTCTTCAGAAACCTCATCGCATATGAGCAGTGCAACCCAAGCATCTCCATTTCTAACATTACCTCTTATGCTGTGGTGTTGGACAACCTTATTAAGTCTAGCAAAGATGTACACCTTCTCATTCAGAGAGGAATTATAACTACGGTCTTGAGCAAGGAGGACATAGCTCGTTTCTTCACTAGGCTTTACAATGACACCATTCCGGGCTACTTCTCTTATGCAGAACTCACCAAGAATGTGAATGCGTATTATAAAGATCGCTGGCACCGATGGCAGACGATTCTGAGACGCGATTATTTCAACAATCCATGGTCAATCTTGTCATTTGCTGCTGCACTCATGATCCTAGGTTTGACATTCATTCAGACCATATATACCATTCTGACTTAATACTAGGCTACCAGTATGCAATTGTGTTTTGGCCAATGTCTTTGTAAATTTACTTAATACACTGTCATGTCTTGTCTCTGTGAATTTTTAGCTAATGCTGTGAAAGCTGTTCGTGTATGTTGTATGTTCAATATGAAACCAAGGCTGTAATTACTTACATGTATATAAATATTTATGTATAGCTATAGCAATTGAGAATTTGCAGAGCGGTTTACGTTTGTGGAAAACTTGTTATATATACTTGATTCAGAAACCTCTAATTACTTGCACTAAGTTTGTGGAAATATCTTCATCTACTTACAATACAACCCTCATCTTAGCATGGTGAATTCTGACAGGTACGTAAACAGGGTCGTTCCTGAGATTTTGAGGGACCTGTGCGAAACTTAAATTGGGCACTCACATAATCTAATACGAAAATAATATAAATAAAAATTTGCCATAACTTAATGTCATAAACAATTTTTTTATAACTAAAAGTCACCATCAATAAACATGTAATGACAATCAGAAATCAAATTCATAAAAATTTAAATGTTTCCATTTGATAAAGTTAAATATTAGTATGTTTGGTACAAAAATAAGCTCCTTGTGCCCTATAAGGTCCCTTACTACCTCCAACAAGCAATTTGTGTTTAATAAGAAAAAAAATTGGCAATCACAAATTAAAGAGTAGTTGCACACAAATGTCATTAACAAATTAGATTATATTGCATTAAACACAAAAGCGATTGACAAAGTTTTTTTTTACTTGGAGGAGAAATTTTATATATATGTTTTTTTGTTTAAAGAACGACAGGGGAGGAGTGGAAAGTGTTTGGGGGATATGAATTGCTTATGGTGGTTAGCTTCGATGTTTCCCTTGTTTTTTTAAGGTGTTTCTGTAGTTTTCTGTTAACTTGTTATAATAAAAAAATAATATATAAAAAGGCGAATAGTTTGACTTCAATGAGAGGCAAATTTGCGCACCTCTGTTAAGTGGAGGTGCACTGGAAAGCCAATTCCACTACAAACACTTTTGTGGAAATATTTAGCAGGCTATACACTTCTTATAATATTAATATATATATAAATAATATATAAAGAATTTTTTTTCGGGGGCCCTCAAGAATCAGGGGCGTAAATAATCATTTTTTGTCTTAATAGAATCCTCATCTGAAGTTATCATGGTGAAATATTAATCTAGAAAATTCGACACCGACTTGGCTTATTCTTTGCTTTTATTACAGCCACTAATCTTTAGGCGACATTGCCTCTTTCCACCAAGTTACTTATATTCATGATTCTTGTAGACTTTTATCACAAAATGAGCATTAGTATTTTCAACATTGGATGCTTAGAACGCTAGCTATAAGAGGGGCCGAGGATCCCTCCTTCCCTTGAGTTTCTTCCAAGCAAAAAAACATAAAAAAGAGAGAGTCTGCAATTGAAGAGCCACGCACACCCCAGGTAACAAACATTTTCCTCTTTTACCTTTGTCAATTACCTGTTATAATATTAATATATATATATGTATAATACTATAATGTGTGAATCAGTGGTGTGTAAGGCCTCGATCTCCCTATGGACAACAGGTAATTGACAAACATAAGAATGTTTTTACTGGTCGCTACTAACGGATACTAAAAATATGAAATTTATCTCTAAAAAGAGTTGTGTGAAACAAGTGTTACATGCATGATGCATGCATGCATTAAGCAGATTACATTTTATTATATTTTCTGCTAAGCAGATTAGATTTAGAGGTATTCTATCTTAATATATTGTTCCAATATTTGTACTTTTATTGACATATTTAGTTTTTTTTTTTCTCATTTGAATACAAGCGATTGATAAGCTATAGTCTAACTACAAAGGGAAAAAAATTTCTCTCACACACACACACACTACTAAGGTGCCATGGAGGTTCGAACTTGAAACCATTAGTCTGCAAGTTAAGGCCTTTTTCCACTAGGCATTGGCGACATATTTGGTTTAAAGAATAAGATTAATTATTGTTTCCCTCTTGTAACATACACTCAATCTCACTTTACCCTTGAAATTGAAATTTTCTCACTTAACCCTACACGAAGTCATTACCTATCTCAATTTGTCCTCCACCGTCAAGTCTGTTAAAAAAATTGTCAAAATTGATAATGTGGCATGAAAGGGGTCCAGTATTTTGTTAAAAAGTCTGCCAAATACGTACCAGGGGCGGCCCTGGGGTGGTGCAAGTGGCGCCACCGCATAGGGCAGCTGATTCTTGAGGGCCCCCGAAAAAAAATTCTCTATATATTAATATTATAAAAAGTGTATATATATTATAGCCTGCTCAATATTTGCACAAAACTGTTTGTAGTAGTTTCTCATTGAAGCCAAACTATTCGCCTTTTTATATATTATTTTTTATTATAACAAGTTAACAACAAACTACAGAAACACCCTCAAAAAAGTATTCGCCTTTTTATATATTATTTTATATATTATTTGTATTATTATAACAAGTTAACAGCAAACTACAGAAACACCTTCAAAAAAGTATTCGCCTTTTTATATATTATTTTTATTATTATAACAAGTTAACAGCAAACTACAGAAACACCTTCAAAAAAGTATTCGCCTTTTTATATATTATTTTTATTATTATAACAAGTTAACAGCAAACTACAGAAACACCTTCAAAAAAGTATTCGCCTTTTTATATATTATTTTTATTATTATAACAAGTTAACAGCAAACTACAGAAACACCTTCAAAAAAGTATTCGCCTTTTTATATATTATTTTTATTATTATAACAAGTTAACAGCAAACTACAGAAACACCTTCAAAAAAGTATTCGCCTTTTTATATATTATTTTTATTATTATAACAAGTTAACAGCAAACTACAGAAACACCTTCAAAAAAGTATTCGCCTTTTTATATATTATTTTTATTATTATAACAAGTTAACAGCAAACTACAGAAACACCTTCAAAAAAGTATTCGCCTTTTTATATATTATTTTTATTATTATAACAAGTTAACAGCAAACTACAGAAACACCTTCAAAAAACAAGGGAAACATCGAAGCTAACCACCATAAGCAATATATATCCCCCAAACACTTTCTACTCCTCCCCTTTCGTTCTTTAACCAAAAAAAATATATAAAAAATTTCTCCTCCAAGAAAAAAAACCTTTGTCAATATGTTGCTTTTGTGTTTAATGCAATATAATCTAATTTGTTAATGACATTTTTGTGCAACTACTCTTTAATTTGTGATTGCCAATTTTTTTTTCCTATTAAACACAAATTGCTTGTTGGAGGCAGCAAGGGACCTTATAGGGCACAAGGAGCTTATTTTTGTACCAAACATACTAATATTTAACTTTATTAAATGGAAACATTTAAATTTTTATGAATTTGATTTCTAATTGTCATTACATATTTATTGATGGTGACTTTTAGTTATAAAAAAATTGTTTATGATATTAAGTTATGGCAAATTTTTATTTATATTATATTCGTATTAGATTATGTGAGGGCCCAATTTAAGTTTCGTACAGGCCCTCAAAATCTAAGGGACGGCCCTAGTACGTACCACGAGTGAAAAAATAAAAATGAACTTAACAACTTATGATGACACCCAAACCACCTTCTCTGTTTCTCTTAAAAAAAACGATTACTGCAAATTTTATAATAGCTAAAAATACTAAAATGTTCATGTCAGGCTAGCACACTTAACAATTTTGTGCATGAAGATGGTAAAGTAAGAAAAATTTAAGCAATTTTTAAGATTGTGGAAGCAAGAACATTTCAGTTTCATATGGGTTAAAGTGAGACCAAATGTCCGTTACAAAGGGAAGACATTAATTAAGCCTATAGATAGAATAACCATTTTTCTTCTATTAAAAACATATATTAACTGATAGGAGTAAGGTGTTCCAGATGGCAGGCAACAATGTTAGTGACCACTCCGTGATGCAAATTAGGGATGAGGATAGAAGAGATGTTGTGATTGCAGAAACTGTGGAATTAATAGTGTCCTCAATTCAAGGAAGGATTCAGCAGCGGCATCCACTTCCTGCTTGTAGTTGCATATTTAGAATCCCTAATGTACTACGCAGGCATAATGAAAAAGCCTTTGTTCCAGATTTAATTTCAATAGGGCCATTTCACCACGGAGAAAAGGACCTGCAAGTCATGGAAGAGATTAAGCTATGGTATTTGCATTGCCTCCTTGATCGAAAGCCAACTTCAGAGACCAGTTTGGAGTACTTAGTCGAAGCTATTAAAAGTATGGAGCAACACTGTCGAGATTGTTATCAAGAAAGAATTGATATGAGTAGTGAAAAATTTGTGGAAATGATGGTGGTTGACGGTTGCTTTATCATTGAACTCTTCCGCAAGTTTGCAAAAGAGGTTCCCAGAAGCGAGGATGATCCTGTGTTCTATACGGCATGGATGTGGTCTGCACTTAGAAAAGACTTGTCTCTACTTGAAAACCAGCTTCCTTGGAAAGTAGTTGACTGTTTATTCAACCGCACAAAGGAAAATGATAAACCAGAATCCAATGCTCTACTCCCGCTTGCTCTGAAATTCTTTAATCCGTCTGCATTCGAGCAGAATCCACAAGCCAATAGACCATTGGAAACTAAGCATTTACTTGATGGCATAAAAAACTCTTTACTTGCCTCATACGAAGCTACTTATAAATATTGCTATTGGGCACCGATTCCTTCTGCCACAGAACTTCTACAAGCTGGTGTCGAATTTAAACGTAGAAGCGACACTTTCGACAACATGCTCGACATAACCTTCAAAAATGGAGTTATGGAAATCCCACCAATATCCATTGAAGACAATGCAGAGTCTCTCTTCATAAACCTCATCGCCTATGAACAGTGTGATCCAAGCATCATATATCATAACATTACCTCGTACGCTGTCATCTTGGATAACCTTATTAACAATAGCAAAGATGCGGACTTTCTCATTCAGAAAGAAATCATAGTTACAAAATTGAGCAAGGAGGACATAGCCGGTCTCTTCAGTAGGCTTTACAATGACACTGTAGTTGGCTATTTCTGTTATGCGGAACTCACCAAGAATGTGAATGCATATTATCAGGATCGCTGGCACAGATGGCAAACAATTCTCAGACGTGATTATTTCAGCAATCCATGGTCAATCTTTTCGCTCTTTGCTGCGCTCTTGATCCTAGGTTTTACCTTCATGCAAACCTTATATTCCACTCTGTCTTACTATAAGTAGATAGGCAAGATATTTGCGCTTTTGTCAATGTCATTGTAATGTTCCTAGACACATGATCATGTCCTGTGTGAATTGGAATTAAGAAAGAATCATGGAGGGCGCTATCATTCTGACTTACTACTAGGCTTCCAGTATGCAATTGTGCTTTGGCCAATGTCTTTGTAAAATTACTTAATACACTGTCATGTCTTGTCTGTGTGAATTTTTAACTCATGCTGCGAAAGCTGTTTGTATATGTTGTATGTTCAATTTGAAACCAAGGCTGTAATAGCTTACATGTATATAAATTTATATAGCAATTGAGAATTTGCAGAGCGGTTTAAGTTTGTGGAAAACTTGTTCATACTTGATTCAGAAACCTCTAAATACTTGCACTAAAACCACAACTTGTGGAAATATCTACATTAAACCAGAACCATTTGATGGGGAAGGTTATTATACATCTTCATCTTAGCATGGTGAA